CATCCCAGGTGAGAGCTAGGTTAAACCCAGAGGCTGATTTTAAATTTGTCAGAACTGCAGTCATATCTGTTTGGATAAACTTTACTGCTAAACTAGCTAATCTAATAATCCAGATTATTTGTCTAGAAATAATTCCTTGTTTCTTGCTGTGGTTAAGACATCAGCCTTTGAGTTTAACACATTTTTGCATGAGATAGCAATACAAATGGTGTATGTTGCACATTAAATAGCAAATTTTCTTTCACACGTCAATATGAAAAATGGTTGCACTTTTCATATTCAGATAAACTTTGTTTATTGAAATAACTTGGGAATGAAAATGTTAGTATTCAGAAAACTGGATTGCTAGTAAACCTTCTAGTAATAAGCTAACAAAGGAACCGCATGGATATTGCATGAATATAGCTTTAGAAGCCTTGTGTTGCCAAACCACTTTTTGGCTTGAAAGGTGATGTTTCCATTAAGTCATGCATGAAAAATTTTACTATTGGTAAAATTTTTCCTTTACATTAGATCAGGGGTAGGCAACATGGTGCCCCTGGGCACCAGCATGCCCATGACACCTCCTTTGCTACAGACCCAGCTTCCTATCCTGCTTTGTTTAACAGAAGTCCTTTTATGTACAGTATGTATAAAACAATCGGCTGCACACAGCAAAGCAGCACCCTGTAATGTTCTATGGATTTGCAGGAATGCCTTCGGGTCCCACTGGGATCACAGAGAGCATACTGGGAGAAGGGCTACTTTGCCTTGTGGTAAATGAGCGTCTTCTCATGTCAAATGTTTGTGACTGTAATCACCCCATGCTTGCAAAATTAAAATTACACTCCTGCCCCCCAAAAGTTGCCTACCCCCTGCATTAGCTCTGTGCAAAGTAAGAATGACTGAAATTGCTGGCTTTCAGTCACATAGCTGGTTTAGGTGATATGCTTTTTATATTCCTTCATAGTTGCCTTTTTGAACATTTCATGTCTCATGAATTTGAAGGCTTTCTCTTTTCTCTTCTGGCAAAAAGCAATGGTTTTCAAAAATAGGAACTGCTTGCATGAAATGTTTAATTCATCTCAGTTGCCTAACACCTAAAGCTGGAACTGTAGCTAATTTGGGATTATGCCTTTCTCTTTGTTTTAGGCCTGAAGACAATTGTAGGCGCCCTCATTCAGTCAGTGAAGAAGCTCTCGGATGTCATGATCCTAACTCTGTTTTGTCTGAGTGTGTTTGCACTAATAGGATTGCAGCTGTTCATGGGTCACTTGAGGCATAAATGCTTACTTTGGCCCCTGAGTAACTCTTCTTATGAAGACCCACGGTTTATGGAGTACTACAATGGAACCGAGTTGATCTGGTCTAAATATATTGAAAATAAAGGTAAGGTTTAAGTAACAACAACAAACAGCAGCAATAATTGTAATCCACTAGAATACTTGGATATGAACCTGCCATAAGTCCAATCAATGTATTTGGGCAATTCAGAGTTCAGAAAATAATGGTGTAATCATTGCTGCGGACCAACCTCCCCTTACACTACCATCATTCATTTGTTCCACTGGGTGGCACTCCATTTTCCAGTATTTAGTTAACTTGCAGGTTTTTTGATTAAAGTGAAAACATTATTTGCTTGGCATTGCCTGGCAGTAGGGTTGATGATGATGGAATAATAATTAATCTAAGAGGGTTTTTTTCTGGACTAATTTTTTTTAGTGGCTTCTCTGGATTAAATACCATATCAGTTTAATTCATTGTAGGGCAGATCATTTAAAATGAATTGCTTAAATGAAGAGAGATCAGTGCCATTAGCAAAAACACCATTTCAAATCAGATAGTTGCAAGATAAAACTGCAATAAGTAACCAATAACTCTTGTGTTGTATTTGAATCTAAATGATCAGTCACAGAGATTAATTAATTAGTGGTTTCAGTTGCAATATCAAAAGAAAAAGAAAAGCTCTTTCAAATGTTGTGGGTGTTGTAGTTTGATAAAAATGATAAGTAATTTCCCTTCAATCAAATTGTCCACTTTCCCAGTAGCTATAATCTTAGTTGCAATTTGCATACACACACTGGAAGTATCTCTCACTGAAAATTAGACTTTAGTAATCATTTAGTAAATTATTACTTTAGTAATCAGATAGATTCCTAAGATGGTTTTGTTATAAAAAAACTAATATTATCATCATCATCATCATCATCACATGAATTCTAGAGTTTTAATTATATAATCAGGCTAGTCAACCTTCTTGAATTTAATCCATATATAGACATAACTAACTTGCATTCTTAACTTCTGTCTTCTCACACACAACAGAAGTCTAGTCACAAGATCAGAGATATATTTGCACACATTATAAACATTTTGGTGTTAAGGTAGAAGAACAGAGTGTGCAGTGTTAGCTTATCATTACGTTAGTCTATCCTATACATCACCCTTCCCCATCCTCATGCCTTCCAGATGTGTTTGGGCTGCTGTAAGTTGGGCAAAGCAGTTGTAGAGGCTACACACATCACAAACACAAGCAAGCCATCGTCATTTTGCACATAACACAAACTTGAAATTGGTTTGATAAGTGAAAAACCAGGACATGTTAATTATATGAATATTGTGTTTGCATATATATATTTGCTATAGCAACACTTTATTTTTTTAAATACTGGAACTCTATGAAGAATTTGTTAGAAAAATTCAGATAACAATTTAAGAAGTTTATAACACAAAAGGACATGTCATAAGGGTTTTGCTTGTTTTTGTTTAATTTTTTCTGTTCCACGCCATGAATAGTAACGGTATAGAGCATCAACAAGAAGTTTCTAGGTTTTTTTAAATCAGGGAAGCAAAACTCTGAACCACTGTGCATGGGGTACCAGTTTAGATTTTAAAAGAGGAAATCTCTGTTCTCTGTCTGTTGACCATTTCTGTATGTCCAGTGGGTTTATTGGACTGTGGCTCTTACTCTGAAAATGTTGTTTTACAACAAACAGACAGCAATGACTCTTATACGAATGAAAATATCATAAGCAACTTTTTTTTCTTATCAGACCACTTTTATTTCTTGGAGGGTACGAATGATGCCTTGCTCTGTGGTAATAACTCGGATGCTGGGTAAGTCTCCTTCAAAGTATAGTTTAGAAGAGAAATCCATTATTAGTAATATAACTAAATCTGCTAATTCATCAAATACTTTGAACTGAATGTTAACATATTTGAGCAGAATTCATGAAAGGAATTTCTTTCCTTCCACAGCCTCCTACTCCTTACAAAGCAGCTCATCTTAGAGGTTTGGGGATGCTTCCAGGTAGCATGGAATATAACAGAGAAAGCTGTATGTAGCTCAAGGGAAGAAATTGGAGAAATCTAGTACTTCCTCTTTGCATTATAATATGGCAAGGACATTCAAGCCACTGTAATACCTTGTTTTACAGGCCCAGTTTATTATAAAGACCCATTTTCTTTAATTTCCTAACAAAAGTACAATTATTCCTGAAAATCATGCTAAGTTAATGGGACCTTCTTCACACAATCATATAATTATATTAACTCGGAACTAGTTCAGGCAAAACTGGACATTATTTCTTTTCTCTGACAAGGAAAGTAGGAGGAAAAGCACCAAAAAATGGAAACTCCATCAAAATGGCACTGAACCTCAGATATTCACTCTGATGGAACTAAGTGTGATGAACTCTAAGCAATATATGTCCTTAATTTATAGTTTCTGAGGTCAGTCCAGTTCTGGTTCATGTCAGCCTTGAACATGTACTGTACATAGGTAGATTCTTGTAATCCACAGAATGTTTAGATCTTTATAAATTCACATAGTAATTTGTACTTTTAATGTGCCTAATAGATATATTGTATCTCAATGTATGTTTAATTTTAATTTCTAAACTATTTTAGTCTAAAACAAGCATTTTAAAGTGCATCTGAAGTTTTTGATCTGATTGTTGCATCGTAAGATTTGAGGAAGTATGAAATTTGAGAGGTAATTTCTTTTCACCTATTAATCCTGAATATGGGATTAGGTCAGAATTCATCAGAATTTTCAAAGACTAAATTCTTCAAGAATCTAAATAGGCTACTGTAAAGTTTTTATTCTCAACTATTCCATACAGTTTGGGCTTATTACACACCCCAGTATTTCCAGGTACAAATTGCAGTTTTTCTTCTTCTTTTGCTTTCAGATATTTTCCATATGCTTAATTAGAATGCCTAAAAATTGTTATTTCATCACCTTTTTTTATAGGCAATGTCCAGAAGGATACACATGTGTGCCAGTTGGTAGAAACCCCAACTATGGTTATACAAGCTTTGACACCTTCAGCTGGGCTTTCTTGTCACTCTTTCGGCTCATGACTCAGGATTACTGGGAAAACCTTTACCAACTGGTGAGAAAAGGAATACTTTTAATTGTGAGAAAGGACCAAAATTGTTTATGCAAATGGCTGAACAGAAAAATAAACCACCACATCACATTGGACATGTTTTAGGTGAAGAATTACTGTGAACTGTTTGTTAGAGAAACAACTAAACTTCATGTGCTGCACTGAAAACCCTGATAGGATTTAATGCAGCTTCTCAAACAGTTTCCTGATACCTGTTTCTAAACAAATAATACATGGTGGTAGAGTTGAATACAAAGTATGTTAAATTCAGAAAAGTTTTTGGTACTGCTGATGCAAGACAAAAACTGTTTGTTTGTTCATTCCATATATTTAGGAGACAACATCAACAGAACAGGAAAAGATATAGAAATATAGATATACAGATATACTGTAGATACATACTTTTAAAATTCACTTGTTTTACTAACCTAGTAACTCGTATCTGGTTTTCCAGACGTTGCGGGCTGCTGGCAAAGGATACATGTTCTTTTTTGTCGTCGTGATTTTCCTGGGCTCTTTCTACCTGATCAACCTGATCTTGGCGGTGGTAGCTATGGCCTATGAAGAACAAAATCAAGCTAGTATTGAAGAAGCCCAGCGAAAGGAGGCTGAGTATCAGCACATGCTTGAGCATCTGAAAAAGCAACAAGAGGAAGCTCAGGTACTGGAGTCTAAAATCTTCAGGAAAAGTAAATATAGATAAATAGGAACTGTACAAAACGTCGTTCCTTTTAGAAGTACTTGTTTGAAACTCCCACGAAGCACTGCCTTTTATTTCAGAGTGTTCAAGAAACCTGTTGCATTTTTGAGATACGTGTTTGTAAACTAGTGCCTGATATGATGTGTTTTAGAAAAACTGAGTCCTATCTGGGTGCGTTATGTCTTGCCTTCATCAAGCATACGGGAAGCATATAAACCTTATGACAACTATCATCTGTCAAATAGCAGTAGCAGAACAGATGCAACAGCCACAAAGACAACAGAAGATTAGGGGTATCATATAGCATTATTCCCCCTCATAAGGATGGGATGGAGTTCCCTGAGCCTTACAACCAGATGAGTGCCTCAAGCTGGTGGAAAGAACACTGTGTACAGAGTATGAAGTACCTTGGCTTATTTAATAATACACATAAAGTCAAGACACAAGATTCTAACTCTAATTATTATATATCAGCTAAATCTTTAGATCAGGAGTTCTTAACCTGCTGATAAATTTCAGGGGCTTCATGAACTTGGATGGGGAAAAAATTGCAACTTTATTTTCACTAACTGAAACTTAGCTTGTGATTGATTTAATGGCTTAATAAAGAAGCACATATATTGTATTACGAGGTTCTGACAGCATATTTGCTATTTTTAAATATTTTGATAACTGTATTTGAGTATAATTGGTTTCCTTTGTAATACAGTATTTATCTATTTGATTTTATGCATTCAAATACATTTTTCTAAGAAGCGATCTATAAGGATCACCAGAGTCTCAAAGGGATCCATGAAACAAAAAGACTAAGAACCCCTACTTTAGTGTAAAGTTGTTTTACTAATATTTTGGTACAGGCATGTTCATTTTTTTCCCTTGCGTTCTTCAAGCGATGTTCTTTTGGCATAATGAGCACCATGCTAGATAATTAAGTCCTGTGTAGAGTAGTTATGTAGTTGATCCCTTCCTGTGATAGGCACTGGCAGCAGCAGCAGCTTATAAAGACTTCAAGGATGATGGTGCCCTTGGAAGACTTTCCGAAACATCTTCAGAATTGTCAAGCTCCAAAAGTGCTAAAGAAAGAAGAAACCGGAGGAAGAAAAGACGGCAGAGAGAATTGTCTGTTGGAGAAGATAAAGGGAATGGCAGAATGTTTCCAAAATCAGAATCAGATAGTAGCATCAGAAGGAAGGGATTTCGATTTTCCCTGGAAGGAAATAGACTCACATATGAAAGCAGGGTAATTTCTCCATACCAGGTCAGTTATATTGTGGTATATCTATCCAAACTGTTGCAGATGGGGGCCTGAATCACATTTTATGGTCTGCATGCAAGGAAAGAAGAACATGGCTCTTAAACAAATTGTGTCCATACTGGAGTTCAAGTTCTTGTTGTTACCTGCAGTAACTGAGGAACAATAGTATCTTTTTATTAGTAGTAAGTCAAACAGTTGGAAAAGAGGTAGAGATGATAATATGAAATTCAGGGAAACAGGTAGATTTTAAAAAATTTATCTAGTGATGTCTTTGTTGCTATTGGAAGGACAGAATGATGCTATGTATCTGATAGCAAAATAACCTATTTAAATATATGTACATTTTTATGACTTCATTCATAAGAACTTACTAGCACAAGGAGAAATTAACATGGTGACAATGTAGTCAGAATGTTAAGCAATCACAATCTACCAGTTATTGATTATCATCTCAATGGAACGATTAGTTATGTTGAATTTTCCTTTAACAATATGGGTAAAGCTTCATTGATAGTCTTTTGATGCAGTAAACTATATGTGTTTGGAAGTACCTTCAACATTTATTGAAATTGCAGGGTGGGGAAAATAGTGCCATGGGCATCTCTCTTGTCAAGCTGATTGCTCAAGTTGATCTTGATTACTTTTTAAACATTATTTTAATTAAAATAATAGAAAAGCTATCATATTTCAAAACACTACCCATTAATATTAACCTAGTTTCTACAATAGCCCATAAGCCTCATACAGGCATATAGGTATTTCTAGAAAATGAAAATGGTGGCTGCTTCAATTTGGAAGTATGCCTATCTGCCCAAATAAAGGATAAGCTGAGATTGACAGACATCAGACATCCTTGGGGACAAGAGGAGATGATGGAAAACAATATTTTCTGTTAAATGGGTATTGGTGATTGGCCACACCGATTGACAGTCAACTGAGGTTGACAAGGTCAGGAAAGAAGAGGTGCTAAGAGCCTTGAAATATACTTTAATGCAGTTAGGTTATTGTAACAGAATCTTGAAAGCCTGCCAAAGCCCCTTTCTACTTCAACTTATACCTAACACAATCAAGGCACAGTTGTTTTGCGTTTCTTCCTCATGTTTTCTACTTTCCCAAGACTTGCATAACCTTTCTGTAATGGCTTGACGTTCCACTTCCCCTTCTCTGAGTCAAACACACATTCCTTTACCCCCTAGGAGGCATGTCTCACCCTCATGATAGGAGTCCAATCGCTTCATACTTCCCAAGGTCCAACTGTGCTTATGCTCTCGAAGTTATTGCCTAGCCTGCCAAACAGGATGTGTATGTTTATTTACAAGTTTTCATTTGATGGTTCAATTTCTGTCTCCTTAGTCAATGCTGTTTCCCACAAGGCGCAATAGCAGGGCCAGCTTTTCCAGCTTCAAAGGTCAAACCACCGAAGGAGGCTCAGATGCTGACAGTGAGCACAGCACCTTTGAAGAGAATGGAAGCCGGAATGGTTCCTATTTTGTCCTACGCAGACATAGCGAACGGCGCAGCAGTAATCTTAGTCAGACCATGTTTCCAATGAATGGGAAGATGCAGAGCAGCGTGGACTGCAATGGGGTGGTTTCCTTGGTAGGAGGACCACCAGTGCTCCTGTCACCTACTGGACAGCTTCTCCCAGAGGTGATAATAGATAAAGCAACTACCGATGACAGTGTAAGGATGATTTAAGTAGTGTAGGCATGATGGGTCTCCAGAATGGAATCCAAACCGTGAATGCTTCTGCATCTTGGAAATGCTTTCATATTGTCACTTTCCAGGCTTTAAAACTGTGCTACACAAAAATAAATGGTCTGACTTCTGCTGCATGTATTTGCAAACACACATTCAGGATGTGATTTAAAGGAAAGGAAGACAACATATTTATTTGCCATGTTTACATTTAATTTATGCTGAGCAAATACCCTCTCTCCCTTCTTTGCTCCTTTCCCTTTCCTTTGCTCCTGCTCATCCTTGCCTAAAAGATCCATTATGTAACTTGTTCCCAGAGGTGCACATGTGCTATATGTGGACCCCAGAGCTCTTCCAAAAGCAGCTGTTACTGTAATTTTTAATGTACATTAAAAGGGGGGAAATCATTAAATGCATGGAAAATAATTCCATTAACTATATTGATCTGAAGTAAAATTTTCTTGGTCTCACCTCTTTATCCTGGCCTCCTACTTTTTGGAATGCAAACCTTGCCACACAAATGTGGCACTCAGTTTCCCAAAGTTGTGCACCCTGGCTTATCCACTTCCATTGCCACAGCTGCTCTTAACTCCTTCTCATTCCCCACTAGTGCCTGCCCCATTGCCTTTCCCTAACAAGAGGACACTTCTTTCCCCTTAGAACAGGGTTTCTCAACCTTGGCAACTTTAAGACGTGTGGACTTTAAGACATGTGGAAGTCCACATGTCTGAAAGTTGCCACGGTTGAGAAACCCTGCCTTAGAGTGATTTATACAAGTGCAGCATTCCATGCTCTGGCTACAAATGCAGCATTCTTCCACGCTCTGTGGCACTTCCTCGGGCAGCAGGTCTCCCAGGGACTGGCTTTGCAGAAAAGGCCCAGAGGAAGGCAAAAAATCTTGCCTTTACTAAGCCTGCATATTAGGATTCCTGGGGATTGTTTTGTGTGCATCTCTACGTATGTAGACATCAGTAGAGCTGCATGTAGATGTGAATTTGTGTGGAGCCACACAAATTTGCACTCACGCAATATGATCGGATGGAGACCACTGGGGGCAAAATGGAGGGTGAAAGCTACCTTGTTTCCTATCCTGCCCTCCATGTCAGGATCAGGATCAGGATCAGGATCAGGATCTTCATTTTGGTTCTTGTGAAGGAACCATTTTGCGCTCAAGGGTACGTTTTGCCCTAAGATTAACATCAGTGCTTTGACCCTCACTAACACGCCAGGCCTTTCCATGCCTCAGTATATTTTCTCTAACTTCTGCTTCATTAAAAACTCATTTCCCAATTTTATTGGGAATATATTTCCCAATAAAAATACTTTTTAATGAAGTATTTCTGCTTCATTAAAAACTCATTTCCCAATTTTAAATTTTTTTAAAAAATATGATTCAAAAATCATATTTACCTCCATACTGTGTTTGCAGCTCCATACAGTATTATATCCCAAGACATCTTCCCTGGTTTGTGACTGGCATGCTGAAGCTCAGTTAAGTCATGTTTTTATTCTTAGGCAGATTTAATGACAAAGCATGTAACAAGATGTACCTGGGATAATTTTGTTATTTTATTTTATTTTTTATTTTACAATTATCCAGAATGGATTGAAGGCTTGGAGGAGCACTGGCTCAAAACATAATGCTGTTTGCTGAAATGACTTTTGTTGCATGACCTAATTTTTCTTTCTGGACCCCCATGTGAAAGGTGTCAGGTTATCTAAGCATAAAACTAAATCTTCTAAACTCTAGTACAAGTTTTCATGCTTTTATTTACATATAGTTTCTTTGTGTCTTAACAGTAAGATGTAGTTGAATAATCAGGGTCATTTCAATTGTAAGTGTTGCAGTTCTACAGAAGATAGGATTCATATCCACCAGTACAGAGAAGACAGAGGCTTAAGGCAATGGGATGGGGATGATGTAATTTTCTGGAGTTTTTCCCTTATTGGGCAGAATTTTAGCTTTTTTCACTTGTTTTCTTAATTTTAGTGTGCGTGCCACCATCGCCACCATCGGTATTTCGAGAAACCTAAACCTATATTATGTTATAGTTTTTGTGTATAATCCATTTCAAAATGGAAGAAACTATGTCAACATGCCAAGGAGGATCTGCAAAACTAAATTAAAAAATGTGCTGCATGAGGCCATAGATTACCCCATGCTAAAGTCTGGGTCAAGAAGCAGATCCATAATCCTGATCTGAACACCGCGTTGGGAAAGTTGAAATGTAGCTTTCAATTACTATACAAGAGAACTTCAAGCTAACATAGAAGGTTTGCATGAGAGCCCTCAAGAGCTCCTGAGATGTAGGCCTGGTCCTGGGACATTTCTGATCCATCTAAGGCTAAACTGGCCTATTGTAGGGGTGCAGGGTTAGTTGGTTACATGTAACCAGCATAAAATACAGTCTACTTTTGAAGTATGTTTAAGCCTAAGAAATACAGAAGGATTCAGCTGCGTGTGCAGTAGCATGAACTTCTCGAAGTCTTGTTATTTGTTGGGGTACAGTCCTGGTATGCATCTCTGTAGTCATGTTGATAATTTAGTCTTCTTACTTCACTATAGAGTACTGCTTCTGAGATGGAAAGCAAAAAGAGACGGTCCAGTTCTTTTCAAATATCGATGGATTTGCTGGAAGACCCCACCGTAAGGCAAAGAGCTATGAGCATAGCAAGCATTATCACAAACACAATGGAAGGTGGGTCTGTGTATATGCTGTGTGCCTGAACATAGTAAAACTGCTATGGAACTTTGATTTACTTCTCTGTTATGTATATGGGAAACTGAACAACTAAGACTTAAGGGATGATACTAAGCAAGAAAAAAAAAGTACTTTATTAGGCTCTGTAGAGGTTTTGGAATCAGAGGTTTTCAAAATGTCCATAGCACCTGTAGAACTTTAAAACACTCTCCGTTTTCTTGGGCTTGTGGGTCTGCTATACTGCAGCTGATGTGCAATAATTGAAAAAGGTATGTTTGGCTTTGGGTGTTCCTGGCTGGTGCTACAGATTTAGGTGGAAGCAATTGAGAAAATGGAATGATGACAGTACTGAGGGTCACACGTGCATACTCATTGTTCATGCCTGCATAATCACAGGAAAAATGCTTCTTTGGACCATTCAAGATCAAATGTGTCAAACAATTCCCTTGGGTGGGCCTACAACCCCTCTCATGCATTCCTTCAGTGTCAATTGAGTGACACTTTGGAGAGTCAATTGAACGATCTTATGTTTCTCAAGCTAGCATTTTTTTCTTAACAATATATTTTACAATTTCGTGCAAGACACCATTGCTTTAAGTGTACTGACAGTCAACCTGTTTTAAAAAGTTAGTATGCTGGATGTGTTTTTAGAAATGCAGTTTTTTCAAGTACTAGAATAAACTGTGACAAAGCCTTAACACCTATTTTTAATTTAGGTGCCTTGCCATAGTAAGGAAGAAACAGAGGGTGGAGCAAGTTCTATACACCCCTTTGCTTGAATGGAAGCTACACATTTAGATCAATGCACAGTTTTGCATATACCTCTGAGAGCCCTACCCACTTGTCCTCTGATATGGCTGCAACTGAGCAATGGGGAGCAGGTCATAGGGTCCCCACTGTCAGTGTGAAGTCAGTGGTCTGGGGCAGGATGGTTCCACCCTTTTTTCTGGTAACCATGCTCAAGATGGTGCAGTAGGAATGAATATCTTTTTTTTTTTTTTTTTTGCACAGCTTTGTGCTGTGTTCCAGTTGTGCCTATTTGTGGACCGGGAGGCTCTGCTCCCAGTCACTCGTGCCTTGGTCGCCTCCCAGGTAGACTACTGTAATGCACTCTACAATTCCCTCAAGAGATCCAGAAGCGTCATCTCGTGCAAA